GACACTTACAGCCAGATCGGCTACTGCCAGATACATGTACAATCTCTCCCCGGGATCCGCTTTGGTGAGGACGAGCGGGGAGGAGAGATATACCTTGAAATCCTCGAAGGCTGCCTGACACTCCGGGGTCCATTCAAAGGGATTGGCCTTCTTCATGATCTGGAAAAAGGGAATCGTCTTATCAGTCAGCTTGGATAAGAATCTGCTCAGTGCCGCCAGACGCCCGGTGAGGCGCTGTACATCCTTTAGGTTCTTCGGGGTTAGGCTCGATTCCCCGCTCGCTCATCATGTAGCCGAGGAACTTGCCGCCCCTGACGGCAAAGGCACACTTCTTCAGATTGAGCCTCATGCTGGCCTTCTCCATGATTCCGAAGACCCTCTCCATGTCCTGGACATGGTCCTCCTTTCTCTTGCTCTTGATCAGGATGTCGTCCACGTAAGCCTCCATTGTCTTCCCAAGTACGTCTTTGAACAACATCCCAATCATCCTCTGAAAAGTAGCCATGGCGTTCCTTAGGCCGAACGGCATGACGATGTAGCAATACACGCCGTCCGCCGTAACGAACGCCGTTTTTTTCGGCATCATCGGGGTGCATGAACACCTGATGGTAGCCCCTGAATGCGTCCATGAAGCTGAGCAGCTCGCAGCCTGCCGTCTCATCCACCAGCAAGTCGATCCTCGGAACAGGGTAAGGATCCATCGGACAAGCTTTGTTTAGGTCCGAGTAATCGACGCACATCCGCCAAGTGTCGCCCTTCGGGGCTAGTACCACGTTGGCCAGCCACTCCACGTGGATGACCGGCCGGATGTGTTTAATGCTGAGGAGAGTTGTCGTCTCCTTCCTGATGAAATCGCGTCGGTCGGCCGCCATATACCTTTTCTTTTGCTGTACAGGTTTGGCGTCCGGCCGCACGGCGAGTCTATGGCATATGAGGTTGGGGTCGATGCCCGGCATGTCCTCTGGCCCCCTGGCAAATAAGATCCTGAATCTTCGGAGGACAGCTATGACCCCCGCCCTGATCTCTGGCTCTAGATCTGCACCGATGGACACCCTCCTGTCCGTCGGGTCGTCGAGCTCGATTTCTTCCAGCAGAGTTGCTGGTTCCAGATGAGCGTCCAATTCGGCCTGTTTGGCCTTCTCGGAGATGCTGTTGACCCGAGCCTCCCGCTCGCTGAGCTTTTCCATGGCCTTCGTGTAGCAGGCCCTGGCCATATGTTGGTCCGTACGTGCCACCCCCACTCCGGTGTCGGTGGGGAATTTGATGCATGAATGTCGTACGGAGCATATGGCCCCCAAGTCTTCCAAGCCGGGTCGGCCCAAAATGGCGTTGTGGGCGCATTTTAAGCGGACCACGACGAACGTCATCCCGATCCGGGCAGTGTGAGGGCCGTCGCCGATCTCTACCGGCAAGACGATGGTGCCCTCAGCGTCAATGCAATCCCCGGTGAAGCCGGACAGCGGGGTGCGCAGAGGGTGCAGCATGTCTTTCCTGAGCTTCATTCCTTCGAAAGCCTCCCAGTAGAGGACGTTCACACTGCTCCCGGTATCAACAAGGACGCGCCGGACGATGGCATCGTTCACGTCCATGCTGATCACCAGCTCGTCTCTGTGCGGCGCTGGTGACATCGGCAGGTCGGCGGGGCCGAAGGTAATTGCCTCGATTTTGTTGCGCTTGGTGGGGGGTGCTGATACGGAACCCACATAGAGTGATCTCTCAAATTTTTTCCGCTCGGCGGGTGTATCCCCTGTCTCAGCGCCCCCGAAGATCACCTTGATCTCCAACTTCTTCTTCTTGCCCTTCGGGCCGAGGGATCCCTCCGGACGTTTATCTGCACTCCGATAATCCACGTCCTGAGGTTCTGCCTCGCGCCGATCGTCGCGGCGCCATGTCTTGTGCCTGGGGCTCGGCTTCTGCTGACTGTTTCTGTTCAGCAGCTGGGTGAACTCGCCCAAGTACCCCTGACGGATCAGCTCGTCGACCGCCTTCTTTAATTAGCTGCAATTGTCCGTCAGGTGGCCGGTCCTCTGATGGTATTCACAGTAGGCCGATTGGTCAAGCCCCATATACTTCTTCATATCTTGGGGTTCCGTCAGGAGGCCCTTGTCTTTGATGGCCTCGAAAATCCGGCCGCGTCTGGCTGTCTCCGGACGGAGCCTTCCAAGGGATCATCGCCCCGTCCACCCTCTTCTTTTTGTTTGAGGGTGAGGGCCCGGGTCCCGGTCGGGGTCCGAGCCTGTCCGCCATCTTCCTTGGCTGGGCCGCGGGGAACCCCGTCCCGCTGCCTGATCTCCTCCTCAATGGAGGCATACTTCTGGGCCCGAGCCAGAACCTCGGTGTAGCTGGTGCCGGGGTTCCTTCTTAGGTCCCGGTATAGGTCCCCTGTGGCCAGCGCACTGGTGAACATGTTGGTGGCCAGACGTTCGTCCAGATCGTCGACCTGCAGGACCTCGTCCCTCCACCTTACCAGGAACCTAGCCAGCGGTTCGTCCCGCCCTTGCTTGATGTGGGCGAGAGCCGTGACATCCTTCCTGGGGGTGGTACTGGCAGCAAACTGTGCCATGAACTGCCGGGAGAGCTGTTCGTATGAGTCGATGGTGCCTGGCCTCAACTGGCCGAACCATTCTTGCGCCGGCCCTCTGAGGGTGCTAAAGAACAATCTACAGATGGTCTCGTCCGATGCCCCCAGCATGGACAGGTTTCCTTGATAACTGATCAGATGGGCCTTAGGATCGCCAGCCCCATTATACACCAAGTTGCCCGGGGGCCTGCAGTCCCGGGGAATCTCGACGCTCATCACCCGTGGAGTAAAGGGTGATGTGAGGGAGAAGGAGGGTGTGGCTGAGCCGACGTCCGTCCGCCTATTCATCTCGGCTATCTGCCGTTCCATTGCTTCCAGCCTTGCGTCCTGTGCGGCCCTTGCGGGGGACACAGGGGGCGCGGCTTCGGGGACGGCATTCTGCTGAGCGGCCACAGCATCGTGCGGCCGCCTAAAGATCTGCGCACCTCGTCGTTGGAAACGTCGTCCAACGGTGTTGATCCTCGGGGTCTCGTCTCCCCGCGGGATTTGGCGGGGGACCGATGGTGTGTGAGCCCTGGATGCAGCGATGCTGACTTTGGTTCGCCCTCCCGTTTCACGGGAGCCTGATCCCCCACTTAGCCGCTCGTGGACTGAGGGCCGGTGGTCGCTGGATCCTGTCGTATCGTCATACGACTGCATGCGGCGTATGGGAGAGAGGGGCGTTCGCTGGGTGCTTGCAAAGTACACCTGGTCTCGGGCCTCCCGCTCGTCTGCCAAGCGACGCATGGTGTCTGCGAGTTCCCGCATGAGGCGGGGATCCTGCCTGGCCTCCAGAGGAATGAGGTCAGTGATACCCCCGTTTCCCCCGGAGGTCCATATTGTCGCGGATAGTTCCGAGTTCTGGCCGCGATTCCGGCGGCTTGATTCCAGACGCTCGGAGAGATCACGCTGGTTGTTGCTTCCTGACATCGTGTTTGCTGTAGGTAGACTTAGTAGCTGTTTGGGAGAGTTTCTGGAAACTTTTTGCTCAGTTTCCCACAGACGGCGCCAGTGTTGAGGTTTATTCCTTCAACCCTTGGACCCAACACGTAAGCCCAAAGATTTCGAGTGGAGTAAGTGTAAGAATATCTAGCCCAACAACTATCAGATGGATCAGGAAACAAAAGTAATAGCAGGCAATGTAAATAGATATTATTAACTTCGTAATAACTCCCCTAAGTACAATCTACTTGCTAAAAAGGGCACGTCGGCCGTTCGTCTTACAAGGCAGTACAGATGCTGCGAGTAAGAATACAATAGCTAGAATGCTAAGAATAGAAAGTTGCCAACCCTTTACAATGAAATAAATGCTACTATTTATACCCGCCAATGGGCAGTTAGTCCTGATGATGTGGAGGATTGTTAGTGGCTGTGGCCCAACCACCAAATCTCCAGCATTAAATGCGCTTCCCGCCAGAATCTGGGTTCCCCGCCTAATTCCTGACCACGATCGTCTGGTAGAACCAGGGGCCGTTCGTCTGCGGCCCTTCCTGAGAACGTAACAATCTTTTGGGCCTGGGCCATCTACGGAGATGGGCCTCGGCTGACGACGTTCGTCATGGATGTGCTAACCGACCCTCGGCCGGGACCTTGAGCTGTTATCCCGGAGATAGACATTCGTCCTCATTCCTTCGGGCCAGGGCCATCCGTGGGCTGGGCGACGTACGTCGGTTTGGGGGTAATTGGGCCGGACCCCTGCTCGGGGCCATTTACCCAACAAGTAGTTTGTCTAAAACTTTTGCCTAATGTTCTTTTTAAATTCATAAATGCTACATGTACATAAAAGATTACATTTTTGTACACGTTTTTTATGACAATCAATTGATGTGTTGACATATCGAACTATTTGTGGGCACATATAACTTCTATATGTGCACACAAAAATTAATTTTTATATAGAAGTATACTCGCATCTGTTTGATAGCCGTTTCACTTACATGATTAATTTTAGTTGTCAGCGTGATTAAATGTGATTTTTGTATAAAGGAAAAATGTATTTGATCATGCGTGCAAATGAATGACGTAGTCGTTTATGTGACCAATTTAAAAGTAGTTTGGAGGGAAAAATGGAAAAGATAATAAAAAGGATGGAAACATAAAAGAGATACACTTTGAGTATGTACAAAAACTCAAAAAAATATACTGCCTAATACTCATTATAAAAGTGAAAGTGATGGTTTTATGAAAATAATAGTCTTTTAATTTGAGTATGTAAAAAAAACTTTTTTAATACGTCATCATTTATGTAGTTTTTGTTTCTCATATTAGTGGTCATATATTATGTAAAAGTGCATAAGTATAATGAGAATGTTAACATAGTAGTTATGAAGTATGTTGGTGTGATGAATGATATATATTCTCTCATATTTTTAGGATTGGTGAATCTTTACTTTTCGTCTCTCTTTGTTCTATGCTCCATAGTAAGCAGGTTGGCGTGCTCACCAAATTGGACATAATATCATTTTCAACTAAAATTCTCAATAATACAATCAGATCACAACGTTTAGACTCAAAGTGGACCACACCCTTCGATATTTAATTTAATTCTCAGTACTTAATATTACCCTGTCCTAAAAAGGTACTATGTACGGGGTATGTCATATTGACTTTTCTTGGTCATTAATGACAAGCTTTGAACAATTATTTTTTACACGGCCACTTTGAAGATCCAAGATCGTCATAGGCAACACACTAGCCAGTTGGAGAAGAAAGAACTACCGGTGTGGATCGCTGGGGAAGAGAATGGAAAGAATGACTTGCTGAGAGAGACCACTCGTTGGAGGATAAACTAGTCGGGGTTCGTCGGGGTTCCAATAGGCTCACGGTACACAATCGACATTGCCTCCGATGTTTTCCTCCGGTACACAAACATTCCAATAGGCATCGTTTCCATCGTTGTACTGATGCAAGAAGGCTGAGAGTGCCTGTCTCTAGAAGCACTAGTGCACTACTACCGCTGGATTCCTGCTGAGCCGTAGAAGGAGGATCGCGGAAGAGTTGTGTCATTTTCTTCTCTTCATGAAGAAGTCATACTACTGGGTGAGTTATACTGTATATCTTTAGCCTGGAGTCTTTATTTCCTTGGGCTGGAAATATCGTTCAGATGCAAATCTATTTTACCTTTGTGTTGGAGAAACTTAAATCCCTAAAGATGATTAGATGAAGATGATTTGCTCAATCGATCGTCCCAACTCCCAAATATGGTGATTGTTGGCCCTTCATCCACGTAGAGACGGAATATCCTGAATCCCTGATGAAGAAGTGTGAAGCTGTTCGTATGTGTTCATTAAAGTGGGAGCGTAAAATAGATATTTCAAAAGTATATAATTATTTAATTTTTATTATGTGACTGTAATTAGTAATTATAGGACTGTAAATAGAATTTCTCATATAAAATACTACTACTTCCGAATTCGGAATTTCCGATCAGAGCAATGGTCCAATTTAGGCCTGGACTCTGGCCGGTTCGGGCCCGGTTCGGGCCTGGGCCTGGCCGGGCCTCGGGCCAGGAAATGGGAGGCCCGGGCCCGAACCGCCGGTGGCCGGTTCCGGTCCCGGTTCCGGGCCCAACCGGGCCGGGCCGAACCGGCCCACTTATTTTTTTTTTTTGTTCTCCTATTTAATCCCCTACCCCTCCCCCTCAACCCCAAACCACCCCAAACCACCTCAAATGGCCCAAAATACCTATTCCAACCCAAAACTTTAAAAAAAATTCAAAAAAAAAAAAATTAAAATCCGGCCCGGACCGGGCCCGAACCGGCCGGGCCGGTTCACCATTTGGAAGGCCCGGAACCGGGAACCACCGGGCCGGTTCGACCCGAACCGCCGGTGGACCGGGCCACCGGGCCGGGCCGGTTGCTACAGTGGCCGGGCCGGGCCGGGCCGGTTCCGGGTCGGGCCGCCCGGCCCGAGTCCAGGCCTAGTCCAATTGGCGCCACAAGTATTAATTAATACTAGTACCTCCTAAAATTAAGGATGTTTTTACTTGGACTGTAATTTGCTGGTCTGGTCTGGTCTGAATTGGTCTGGTCTGGTCTGGTAAGGTCTGGTTTCTTTGTATTTTTATAACTATCCAAATCTGGTCTGGTCTGGTCTGGTCTGGACTGGTCTGAGACAAATTACAGTCCAAGTAAAAACATCCTAACTCCCCAAAAGACTCATGTTTTTGGTCAATGTAATTCTACTAGTAACAGTAGGAAATAAAAGACTTAAAGTTGAGACCTAAAACTGAAAAAAAAAAAAAACGAAGTAATGTGAAAAATATGTACACTGTTGTTTCTAAAGAATATAAAGCACTATATCAACATGTTTATATTTAATACAAATATACACCACTTATTACATCGTTAACCACTACTTGGTAAAAGGAAAGGAGAAGAAAAATCATTGGCGGCCAAACACATTTGTCTGGACTTGTTCAGAGTTTTGCTTTGGGCATGTTTTGGTATCGGCGATTTAGTCAATGCTGAACTCATTTGAACTGAAAACGCTGCAAAACGAAGCAGATTCAAAAGGCGTTTCCACAAAAACAACGCCGTAAAACAAATCTTTTATCTTGGCCAAACTTGGCCATAGATATCCTTTTTGAGATAACTACGATCCCATGACCAAGGGACATCTGCATTTAGAGAGAGGCAAAAGTGTAATCAAATGATGGTAAAAACAAAACAACAAAAAATACTGATTTGAGCAGGTAATGTAGAACCAGAGTTTCACCTTCGGGGGAGTAGAGTATAGGAGGAAGCTCATACGGTAAGGGCAATCTGATAACTTCAGTGCACTCTGTATCTATCTTTCCTTGCCAAGCTAAAGTTACAAGCTTAGTCCTCTCTTTCTCCGCAGCATATTGTTTTATCTGTGGGATTAGAGATTAAGAAAAGTGACCAATATAACCTTATTAAGCAAATACTAACTGACAAGCTTTAAAAACAAATATACCTCAGGCTGGTTACTGTGATCGTTTGTACAAGAAAACCCACTTCCACATTTGACAGACGGTAAAAACAACACCCCAAGCTGACACAACATTTCACACGCAATATCAGCTTAATATAATTAGATCAGGCATGCATGTTCATTTTTCACAGATACAGCATTTAGGGTCTGCTTGAAACTCAAAATTAAGAAAGAAAACATGAACTGGTTTTAGATATCGGGTCAAATTCATTTTATTTATATATTTCTATTATAAAATTAGCAGATATGTAAACTCTTAAAATGTGCTCATCGGATCTGGTTTTCCTTGGTGCTTCTGAAGATACGATGAAACATTACTAAAAAACTTTATCTTTTTTTATTTACGTGGGTAACTTGTCTATTGAGTAAAGTAGATTCACTTACCTCATATGATCGAATCATCAACTGGGAATTGTTTTTTTGTAGAGCTCCCCAGGCAGCTTTGCTGAGGTTTGAAGATGTAAGCAGTAGCCACCTGTTAAATATACAAATAAATATGTAGTACTAGATAGTATAAACTTGAAGCAAATTGAGTTTGAGGAGATCTGAACAGGACCCTACGCTATGTTTTGACCACTGTAACGAACAAACGTCTTTATATGAGGCATTGCCCGACTGAAACATGTAAAAGTGCAAGCGTAAGTTTCTTTCCTAAAAAGACTTGACTAATAGTATTGCGAATGATAGTATTACGAATCATAAGTTGGTCGAAATTCATTAAGAAATGGACAATGTACCAACGACCAGTGTGCCTTGCTCTCCACTTAGCCCAGTACTTTTTGAGAAATTGTTTCTCCACATTCTTTTGCGGGCCTGGGATGCAACCTCCAGCAGCATATCCCTGGAGATTGAAGAAAATATCCACAAAAGTCTATCCTTAATCAATGCTGCAAGAAGAGTATAGCTTGCTGAATATCATAGAGAGAGAGCAGGGAAACATATACCACACACTTGATAATCTTTTGTGCTCATCGACACGAAGCAAAAACCTATAAGAGTACAGATGGTATAATTTACTTCTCTGCTAAAATTTTGGAATCCTTCTTTTACGGTATTGGGATCCGGGTCACTGTGGTTAGGTCACTACTCACCAGTTTTGTATTTGGTGTTGAGCTATTTTGGGCTGCCTCTTCTCCCAGAATAGGGTCGATGTCACTGAGGTTGGATCACTGCTGGGGCTTCTTCCAGTTCTGTGTTTAGGATTGGGCAGGGAAGTGACAAGGGGTAATGGAGATAGAGGACATTATGCCAGTGACAAGGTGGTGACACGACAGTGGCAGATGTGGCAGCAGCAGTGAAATATGCAAACAGGCAGTGGGGCAGTAACTTGGACGAGGGTGGCAGTTGTAGTTATTTTTTATTTTTAACTATTAAAAGTAATATTAAAAATGACACAAATTGTACATTTAGATGTATTTATTCCAGTAATAAAAGAGTGTGCTTTTCCCCGACAAAAGACAAGGTTGAAACACAATAAATTTATAGTTTTGTTGGCATTCACTCCACATATTTACTTATTTGTTTGTTTATTTATTTATATACTTATTTATGCCTATGATTGAAGAAGCTGCAGAATTTAAATAAATAATAATAAAGTAATCATACTATAATTTCCTCTGCAATTTCCGATATAAAACAAAACAAAATTGAAAAGCTTTTCTTAGCATATTTCGGGATTATAAACACCCTAATGGATGTCTAAGGAAATTAACTCATTCAGGCATTCAGTGCAGTCTAAAGTATGAGTTTGTGAAACACAAATATATGTTTAGACTTTAGAGAGTATCAAAACATTGTCTAGCACACAGTGACTCAGTGTTTGCTGGATTCCAAACACTGCACAAAAATAATACTCCATCCGTATTTTTTTGTTTGCTACACTTTCCTTTTTTGGATGTATTTAAAAATTTGCTACATTGTCCCTTTTTAGTAAGTTTTTCCTTTAAAAATACTCAACTACCCTTACTTTTTCTACTTTTTATCTTCTCTTTCATACTTTTCCACCATCTCTCCTACTTTTTCTACTCTATTCATTACCCCTACTATTTCACTCTTAAAAAATGTGCCAACACCTATTGTAGCAAACAAAAAAATACGGAGGGAGTACCTCCAAAGAACATCTAACATCTTCAACGGTAGGCCATATTATCTTTTGCTCCCCTATTCCAAGGGGCTTTTTATCATCTGACATTCCAGCTGACATCGAAGCCGCAAGTTCGGTCATCCACTTCTCATCTAAAGAACCCAGGGAGGAAAACTGCAGCAATGGAAATATAACGCAGTAAATAAATGAGAAGTGGTTTCAAAGGAATTCTGTAATACTGTCAACCTTAGGCACTGTTTGAAATCAGAATATTCAAGGAAAGTTAGGAAAACAGAGGGAGAAATTTGGATGGAAAGAAAACGTGGAACGACATTAAAATAAACAACAGTTCATACTCAATAAATCATTATGCGTTCAAACCCATTTTATTTGTATTTTCCGACTACCTCCCGAAAAGATTGCCAAATAAGGTTTACAAGGGTTGACAGGTGATAATCTGAATTTGTCCCTCACAGTATCTAAACTAGTATTACTATTTAAACTATACAAACTCCAAAACTAGCCTAAAAATTCTATTATAGTGAACAAACGGAATTTGAATATGATAAATATTGATACTCAAAATCAAAGTTAAAAAGAATTGTGTTTACAGATGAATAGTGAAACAGGCACACTTTATTGGGATTGATCTGATTTGATTTTCCAAAGCACTTTTTCCTTTCCCTAGAATTTTTAGACCCAAAAATAGCCTAAAAGTAATAAATGCATATGCCTGATAAACAAGAGGAGACTTCTGAAACTCTTTGCTGAAAGTACACTCTTGAAGGACAGTTCGTAACTTCATATGCCCCCATTTTTTCAAACTTGGTCCTGAATGATATCCAGGAACTGAGGCAATTAGCCTGACCTGGAAATGAAAAACGTAACATTCTTGAATATAAAATCATTTCTGCATAAGTATTTCAATATCCATAGCTTTTAGTAATATAGTCTCCAAAGAGAGATTACCCCTGCACTGGTATAGTCAAATTTCTTGAAAAATGAGGAATTTATGTTGAAATTTCCAAGCGCAGGTATATTGGCAGTAAACTCAGGCCACTGGGAAAGGAACTAGTCATAGTCAGATAAAACTAACGCAACATACAAGATAAAAGAGTTTCATTGAAAATATTTCCACACATTTTTACCTTCAATACACTGAGATAGTCAATCAAGTCTCTTTCAAACCCACATTCAACACTTGGACACTTTTGATCCTTCCATGGGAAATCTTGCATCCACAAACCTTGACTTTTGTTATTCCAGTCAACATATATCAAGTTTGCGGTATGTACTACAACTCTGACTCCCTTAGGGTACACAAGAATCATGGCTTTTGAATGGTGAGTCCCATATGATATGGGCAATGCAGGTTTGTGTAGAATCCAGTTTGATAGATTGTTTCTCTAAAAAAGACATGCAAAATAAGTAGACCAGAGTTTACTTGTAGGAACTTTTTTTACAGAAGAAATGTCAAGGAAATAGGACTCCCTGACCTTCATATACTCCACGGTCCCATCACCTTCTCCATGTATAACAAGGACCTTAGAGATTTTTTTAAGTGTG